TGTTTTTCCAGAGCACCTGGAACCAGCAGCATCAGGTGGATTAGGCCCTTCTTTTGCCTCCCTGATGCACTGAGTCTTTGGCTAGATTGCAGTATGCTTACCCTTCTGATTTTAAAATCATGCTGCAGGTCGAGCCCCCTCTCGGGAGAGCTGGGTTTGTTGACCCCTCTAAGAATGTTTGTTTAATTAGAATAACTAGATGATGGATGAGCTACAAACAAGGAAAACGTTTTGCAGTTACCTTGGCAAAAGCATCTCTTCCATAGCTAGCTTCCTGCTCATTGTGTCCCTTTTCAATGACCTCACCACCTCCAGTAGCCACAGTACGGTACAGCAGTGTTTTCCTGGCATTCTCAGGCTCTGTGGACGTCAGCTCAGATATGTGCTTCACTGTATCTTCTCCGACAAGTATGACATGTTCACCATCACTTGTAAACTGAAGGTTACCCTGAAACAATGACAAGGCAAGGCATTTAAACCAGTGGTTCTCAACTAGGGGAACGTTCAGTTATTGGATTTTTTAAAAATTATTTATTATTTTATTTTATTATTTTACTATATTGGGCCTTCATATATTGCGTTGGACAATCTTGAAAAAATAGAACCAGTGCTTTAAACATCAATTTCAGTGTAACACTGCACTGACCACAAACAGACAGAAAAACAGAAGAAAATAATCTTCCAGAGCACTCAGTGTGGGACTGACCAGGTGTAGGATGGTACTGAGGATCTTGTAGATGGAGATGATCTCTTCAGCAGTGAAGCTGATCACTTTTAGTGCTGCCATCACAGCTTTGTGGCATAAGGAGTCATTATTGGACGCCTGTGAAGATGATTTGTAATGACAGAGAGACATAAAAACATTGTATGGTACATTTCGTATAGTGATATTAGTCATGGGTATACAGAAGCTCTATAGGAGAGCAGATTGCAATTCATTCAGTCTCGAATGCTTAGTCTGTGCAAAGCTGTGTGTTCATAAACTGTGATATACTCATAGGATAAGTACGTACAAGTGTGACGGAGGCTCCTTGACTGGTGTAGGCATATTGTGCAGGATCTCTCTGCAGATACAAAGACTTCAGCAATTCATCAGATCCTCCCCGTAAAACCTGCACAAACAGAACATACTGATCTATGTGTTTTGTTTGTTAAAATCTGAATAACAATTCTTGCAGCATTTGGTACTCCTGAAGTAATGTTGTAATCTCATTCACCATAACCTGTTCGGAAGATCTCACCTGATAAAATGAGTGGAAATTTCTTTCTCCCTCCTGCTGCTGGACAACTCTTGACTGTAAGTAAGTAAGCAAAGTATCTGTGTTAATTGTCTTTTCGGTATTATACAGTTGGCCTATTGATATGACTCTCAATCCACCCTTATAATCTCAAAAAATACAATTGAAAGCCAGCCAGAAGTAAAGGCAGCATGGTATTTGTGTTACACTTAAATGGGTCATATGATGTTGCTAAAAAGAACATTATTTTGTGTATTTGGTGTAATGAAATGTGTTTATGTGGTTTAAGGATAAAAAACACATTATTTTCCACATACTGTACATTATTGTTTCTCCTCTATGCCCCGCCTTTCTGAAACGCATCGATTTTTACAAAGCTCATCGGTCTGAAAAGCGAGGTGTGCTCTGATTGGCCAGCTATCCAGTGCGTTGTGATTGGCCGAATACCTCAAGCGTGTGAAGGAAATGTTAAGCCCCTTACCATATTGTGATGCCCTGTCCGGCCGGAGCGACGAGACAAAAACATTAAAACCCATTATAAACGAGGCATTTGTTGCATCCAGTGGGGACATAATTACGGATTATAATGACTTATACTGTCTTTTTACGTGTTGCATTGCATCGCGCCGTGTAAACATAAAAACATATCTGCATTTGTGATCGGAGAAATGACAAACTACAAGCACTACTCTACACTGCTCAAAACTCGCGATTAGATCATCAGTGGTAAATTCTTTAAATATAAAAAACGTACTTACAGTCTTTGAGTCAGAACAGCTGGCATTGTAGTCTACTCTACCAGGATCAGGAAACAGTCCTCCATAAAATGTGCTGCACACATCTGAATATTTGGGTTGAACTGTTCTGGAACAGTGTTGTAAATACAACTTAACCACTGATTTCTAGTCGTGTCCTCTTTTGGAAGACCAAACAAAGTAGTTTCGCTTTCACAACAAAACACAGCATCACACACGGTGGCCTAGAGTGAGCGGCGGCAGGCGAACTTGCGACAACCACATGTGACGACCCCGGGCTGGACTCCGCTTCGTCCATGGTGAAAGCCGATACGGCGATCCACAGCGTAAAGTTGATGTATTTCCTCAGCGACCAGCACGGATCAGCTCCAGGCATGACGATGCGGATATCGTTCTCTTTTGTAAGGTCAAACAAAGTAGTTTCACTTTCACAATGAAACACAGCGCCTTCACGACATGGCGGCGGCAACAACAATACTACAGTGAGGATAAAAGTTACGCCTTCTTTCTTTGCGTGAACATTTGGGCGGTGTTATGCAAATCTTCCCACATAGGGAGGTATATATGTGGGGGCGTGTTCGAACAAGCCGTTTTAGGGGGGTGTGGCTGACTCTTAACTTTTATAAAGAATGTCTCTTTGGATTTAAGACTTTAGTCTTAAACACTCCAAAGAGAAAGGAAAAATTGAAATCGCATCATATGACCCCTTTAACCCCTCAAAAGAGGCCAATTCACATAAACAGCACAAAACTAAGCAGTTTTATTTTTATAAATATTATTTTAGGAATGTTTCAACTGTTTCGACAGCTCTATGTCAGTATTTTAAGTCTTTTCACGTATTCTCAGAGTAGAAATTATACGTGTGACAAGGTAAGCACCTTCTCTTTTATTTTTTACTAATATTTATTCACATTTCTGCAGAGCACTGATGGGTTTTTATTGCCAATGTAATATAACAAAAATATAAATAAAGAACAAAAGCAGATTAACTCTGAGTGCTTTAGGTTGTTATATCTCAGCTTTCAAAAAAAATAAAAAATCCCCCGTATGTGCTGGGAACATTTTGCTAACGTTCGTTATGAACGTTATTTCTTTGTTACATTACTTAAAACGAACATTCCAACTAAAACGATTCAAAAGAAAAGCATTCTATGAATGATGTAAAAAATAATGTTTTAGTGCTAACGTTTTGAGAACATCATTAAAGGCCAGATAACGACTATTCCATTAACGTCACTGTTCTGAGAACGTTCCTTATTAGCTTGGGATCATATCAGATGGGAGAAAACATCTTAGAACGTTATTATTTAGCACTTATTACAGACTTATAAAAATAACAAGCATATCACAAAACTGTCCCCATTTAAAATAATAATAATAATTGTTTGGGTGCCATATGTGGATATAACGGTTTGAACAAACCAGACAAAGTGAAACAATAACTGACAACAAAGCCCTGCACATTCAGTAAAAACACTCTAATATTGATCTAGCTGAGACCTAGCTGAAAAATGGGCTGCTGTATCCTTTTTTAATGAAACTGTGATCACCACATTCAAATTTAACAATTATTATTTTACAAGGCAATGTCAAGTTTCATTCATATGTCATGTTTATGATGCGCTTTAATGTGTACTGATAAGATCCTGAAGGCCTCACCTTCTCCAGCAGGTAGTTGTTGATGTGTCCTCCCGTGGGGTCTCCGTTAAAGTTGAAGTTGATGTCCATGTATTTGCCGAAGCGGCTGGAGTTATCATTGCGGTTGGTCTTTGCATTTCCAAAGGCCTCTAACACACAGTTGGATTTCAGGAGCACGTTCTTCACACTGTGGTAGGATGCAAATACAGTAATAGTCAAAAAATAATGTATAAACAAACATGTGTGTTTCAGGGTACACATATATGGAACGCAATAAGAAAATCAACATCATAGTGCCATCTAACGATAGAAGATGTTCAGCCTTCATCCCCAAATAAACTTTACAAAATAGTCCATTAAACAAGAGCATTTGACATTTTCTTTTCAAACATTTCATTTTCATACAAATCTGTTTTTACTATACTATTGAGTTACAAAAGCAATAAAATGCTTTTATATAAATAAATAAATAAATAAATAAAAATTAGCCCTGAAAGTCCAGAGCTGTCAGTATCTCCAGGAAACTGACCTCTCGACCTCTGCCCTCTGGCCAGGGTTGGTGATCGCTGCAATGTACTGCATAATGTACTTGCTTGCCTCAGTCTTGCCTGCTCCACTCTCACCTGAAACACAAGGAAATTTGTGAAACGGTCTAATCCAGACTTTGTTTGTAAAGTCTTTGTTTATCCGTTTTTTTCTTCCCTAGTCAGAGGCACAGTGGACAAACGCTCTCGTACACGGTTCATCACAGAGTATAATGTCACCGTTGCTCCTAAGCGTTTTACAGATGCGCTAAAAGCAGCATGGAAGAAGTATGGAAGAAATGAAAGCAAAAATACGATTTTATATAGGCCCCGCTTTTGGCTTGATTATATAGGTTTTGGCTTGATTTTGATCGAAATGATGCTACACCTGTTTGTTCTTCGATTCTGCTTGAAGTATAACAGGGCATAATATTTCAAGATGAACACATACTGGAGTGAAGCAGCTTAGCTTTAGTTTATTACCTATACTTAGTTCTTAAAAAATCATGTTAAATCATGTATCAAATATGATCCATCAGGCATTTGAGGATCTCTCAGTCATCATTTTGTTTCACTGCATTATATGTTTTTGCCCTCCATAATAAGAACTACAGAGCTTTGATCATTTAAGTCTCATACAATATTGAGAGATATAGTGATGACTGATATTTTTATGATTTTATGTAAATAGTCTGCTATACTGTTATAAAGATATCATTGACTTACATTACAAGCTAATGTCACCGTTGCTCCTAACCGTTTTACAGATGCGCTAAAAGCAGCATGGAAGAAGTATGGAAGAAATGAAAGCAAAAATAAGATTTTATATAGGCCCCGCTTTTTATATATATAGGTCTTGGCTTGATTATATAGGTCTTGGCTTGATTTTGATCGAAATGATGCTACACCTGTTTGTTCTTCGATTCTGCTTGAAGTATAACAGGGCATAATATTTCAAGATGAACACATACTGGAGTGAAGCAGCTTAGCTTTAGTTTATTACCTATACTTAGTTCTTAAAAAATCATGTTAAATCATGTATCAAATATGATCCATCAGGCATTTGAGGATCTCTCAGTCATCATTTTGTTTCACTGCATTATATGTTTTTGCCCTCCATAATAAGAACTACAGAGCTTTGATCATTTAAGTCTCATACAATATTGAGAGATATAGTGATGACTGATATTTATATGATTTTATGTAAATAGTCTGCTATACTGTTATAAAGATATCATTGACTTACATTACAAGCTATCAGCATTTCATCTTAAATTTCGGCCATTTAAATATCAGCAACTGCACCAAAATGCCTTTTTCCCCCTCTTTGAATATAAGCTCCATATTCTCACTATATCACACTATATGAGCCATAAAAGCCTGATGTATAAAATATGATACTCAACAAAAACATTTTTTTAATATTTTGTCTAAAGGTTCAATAGACTATCATTTGATATGCCAGGCTTAAGTATTTTACTATTTTCATTGTGCATTTGTGCATTTTCTTTCTGGTTATCCAGTTTGATTATTGTGTTGTTGTTCATTGTGCAATTGCTGTTTTATTCAGCAGTGATTGTGTGTTTAGTAGCTGCTGTACCTGAAATGACGATGCATGTGTCTTTGGCTCGTCTCTTCATGGCTTTATAAGCAGCGTCTGCGACAGCATACAGGTGAGGTGGATTCTCATACAGTTCTCTTCCCCTGTAGTCCTCAATGACCTTCTTTCCATAGATATCCAACTGTCTGTACGGATTGACTGACACCACTACTTCTCCAATGAAAGTGTAGATACGGCCTTTCTCAAACCTGAAAACAGCAAACAATACTGTGAACGATGTCAAGTTCAACAGCAGAAACAACTTTAACAATTAACTCATTGTTTTCATCATAGTGCTGGTTTGGTTTAGTTCCTGATAAGTGAATAGACACAAAGAACAATTGATGGATGCATTGAGTATTACTGTAAGGTGTGGTGGGATTCAGTTAATCATAAATCATACTTAGAGGTTTAAGATGAAGTTACAGATAGGAGTACATCCTGAATTTGTGTCAACATTAATATAACAAAACACCACAAACAGCATCCTTTTTTACTCTATAAAATATCATAATACAGTTGGAGATGAATTTAAAGGGGTCATATGATGCGATTTCAATTTTTCCTTTCTCTTTGGAGTGTTAAAAGCTCTTGGTGTATAAAGAAGAACTGTAAAGTTGAAAAGACTAAAGTCTCAAATCCAAAGAGATATTCTTTATAAAAGTTAAGAATCAGCCACACCTTCCTAAAACGGCTCGTTCTAACATGCCCCCACATATCTACGTCACTATCTGGGAAGATTTGCATAACGCCGCCCAAATGTTCACGCAAAGAAAGAAGGCGTAACTTTTATTCTCGCTGTAGTATTGTTGCCGCCGCTGCTATGTCCCGAAGGCACTGTGTGCTTCGTTATGAAAGCGAAACTACTTTGTTTGGTCTTCCAAAAGAGGACGATATCTGCTTCGTCATGCCTGGAGCTGATCCGTGCTGGTTGCTGAGGAAATACAACAACTTTGCTCTGTGGATCGCTGGATCGGCTTTCACCGTGGATGAAGCGGAGTCCAGTCAGGAGTCGTCACATGTGGTTGCCGCAAGCCTCCTTCGTCGAATCCGCCGGCCGCGCCGTTCTCAAGCCCGCCGCCTCTGCTCACTCTAGCCCTCTGGCCGTTCCTCACTCTAGCCCCCGGCCTCTGCTCACTCTAGCACAGTATGGTAGGGGCGTAACATTTCTGTCTCACGCTTGAGGTATTCAGCCAATCACAACGCACTGGATTGTGCACAACGCACTTTTCAGACCGATGAGCTTTGTAAAAATCGATGCATTTCAGAAAGGCGGGGCATAGAGGAGAAACAATAATGTACAGTATGTGGAAATTTTTAGCAACATCATATGACCCCTTTAAATTTAAACAAGGGGAAACAAGTGTCATAACGACGTTCATTTAGGTATATGTGCCACAGTATGTTTCTCAATGTCACACGCTCGTATTCAGCAGGAAGTGATACGGGGCTGGGAAGTGAGAACAGGAAGTGCAGTGGGGCTCAAGATGACTCACTTTCTGAATTTCAATCAACATAAAATATAGTGTAATCTTGGTTAAACAAACATATCCACTAACACGCTATCTCTTCTTCCTGCTGTACAGCTAAAATACATAGACATCTGTCTGAAGTTAAAATTCATTAGTCAATATAGCCGATACATTCTTTATAGTCTTTCAAAACAAGCACATTCACATTAATGTCTACACATAATTCATAGTATTTAAGGATTGAATTTGTAGGATGCCTTCCCTCAGCATATTGTGAACTTAGTAGTGTTTTGATGTATGAATGTGCGGTACAGTCACATGAGGCCTGGTCATACCTCAGCTGACAAAATGCACAGAATGGACAAGAAATGAATACATTTTTTCATGAGGTTTCAGAGGCGTAAGAATCTGTGACAGACAAAACAAGTGTGCAGTGAACCTTCAAACACTTTTTAACATCACACTCATAAAGAGTCTTGCGAAAAGGTCATCTGATTCACCCCGGTTTAACCGATGACATCACAGATGAGGGACTCGGGTGCAAATGCTACCTGTTAAAGGAAAGGAGAACTAGAAACCTTTGATTTCATCATCAGAACTGCTAAGATTCGACTGGCTGGCTACGATCAGCTGTTGCAAGACATGATAAGATGTACATTTTTGTCTCTTAAGCAGTTGATGTCAGCCACTTAAATTGATATTTCAGCTATGAGCGGGAAAGTCAAAAGTGAAATGACACATGGTTTCCCCTCCACTTTTTTCAGAAAATGTGTCATTTTCTCGTCACTTCATTTGTCTACCGAGAAGGGAGTGGTCAAAATCAAAAAGGCACTAAAGACATAAAGCGAGACTTTAAATTCTCACTTTTGAAAGTGAAACAGATTTCACAAGCAAGTTCTACAGATAAAAATGATTTTATCAAAGCTCTCAAATTGAGTTTAAGCTCAACTCAACATCAATACCAAGTATCCTCTTTGAAGGCCATATTCACTGCTGTCTTGTCAGGTTATTTGTAATAGTACATCATGTCCATTGAATCTTTTTACACACCACCACTTGTTGAAAACTGTTCTCTCGCCGAGAAGGGAGTGGTCAAAATCAAAAAGGCACTAAAGACATAAAGCGAGACTTTCAATTCTCACTTTTGAAAGTGAAACAGATTTCACAAGCAAGTTCTACAGATAAAAATGATTTTATCAAAGCTCTCAAATTGAGTTTAAGCTCAACTCAACATCAATACCAAGTATCCTCTTTGAAGGCCATATTCACTGCTGTCTTGTCAGGTTATTTGTAATAGTACATCATGTCCATTGAATCTTTTTACACACCACCACTTGTTGAAAACTGTTCTCTCTTACCTTAACTTCAAGTTCTCCATAAACTGCTCCATGGTCACCTCGTCTAGAAGCACAAAGTCTGACTTTCCGTACTCCAGGCCCTCCAGCTCCGCCATCCCTGCAGGAGTCTATCTGACGGATGAATGGATGGAGAGAAAAGTGGAAGGTGATGAGAAAGACACAGAGACCCAGTACTGACTGCCGTCCTCTCGAAGCCGGTAGAGGAGACGAATGTGGAGTGGGTGTGGCCTACATCTCAGTCTTTGCATGATCCGAGGCTGTGCTGAGTGAAGTCAGTGATGACTGCGGTCTGCAGGCTCCAGCATGTCATCCTGTTCAAGAGAACCTCTGCATATAGATGTGCGTATTTTTGAACACATGTAGAAGGAACTATCTTTAAACAAGAGTATTTTGCATCTTGCTGAGCTACCACAGGCTCTGAAAGCAGAAACCTCAACTAACCCACTGTCCTGCTAACTAAACCTTTATTTATTTGATTTTTTTTGCTCAATCCTTCGTCATTCATAGCCTTCCCCATATTTGTAGAGTGCAAATGAACTATAAAGCCAAAACACAGTTTGGCTTTTTAAATGTACAATATTGTTTGGTCAAACTAAAATTGAGTATGTAATGAAATAAGCTACAAGTGATCATTATCTTATAAGAGGATGAATGGCATTTCCGAAAGCCCACCCTCTTCCTCTGGTCCTGCAGACATGGGGGAGTGCGGATCATAGACTCCTGTCAAGAACGAGATCTTTCACATAGTCTGCCCACATACACTAATCTAGGATCTGTTCCATTCTTGCAAAACCTACTCACAACCATAAACAACAGTACCAAACAAGATACAGACAGACAAGAAAGGACGCACAGCACACCATTTATGGAGAAATAAAAGGGGTGCCGGGAACAATTGTGATACCAATCAGCAGAGCTACTATCAGTTAAATACTATGGAACAATCCAAATGAACATGTTGTTTCTGGTCAATCACAGTATTGCAAATTGCATGCTATTAAATACATGTACAACTACAAATTCTATTCACTTAATGCGGTAGTTGATAATTGGCATCCAGAATATAAATGCATTTAAGTTTAAAGGTAAGACATTTGACGGATGAAAGTTCAGGTCCATGACAAAACTTAATTTACTGCTCTAAAGCCATAAGGTTATGTCATTATGTCTGCTGATTCAAGACTTTTCCACTTTTACACATTGAACGGGTATTGACAATAAAAAGAATGAATGGTTTAGGTAATGAGTAACGCCTTATTCAGTTTCTTGTAGAGAATGTTTGTGTGATTACAATATTTTGAAGAACATGGGAAATCAGAGAATGAGCTGATATGAGTCAGTAGTCACTCTACTTTTATAACTAATGTACAACTAATACAAACTTCACAGATAATTGAATACAGATTAACGTTCAATCCTTTTGATTACAATTACCACTTGTCCACATTACGGTAACGCCTCAAAATAATTCACATCCCTAAAAAGAATCATTCAAATAGCTAAAAATAATATTTTATTAACACAACCAATGAATCATAATGACCACTGTGGAAATTCCTAAATAGCAAACCACAGGTAAATAAAAAATAAATTAGGGGAATTTTAGTATGACAGAAATCTGTATCTGATAGAAATACTCAAATAGACATCATCAATTAATACAATGTTAAATCAAAAACGTTGTTTCATAAATCTACAGGAAAAACAAAAGCACTCATTAGTGTATTTCTCACATTCTATCATTTTTAACACAAAAGCCTGGGTTCTTGTTTCATTTTTTCTAACAGGGAGGGGCTCAGCCCCTAAATCAACCACAGGGCCTGCCTCACTTCCTGTAGAATGGAGAAAAAGACACTTCCTCATCGAGTCCCCATGGTAATGACCGAGAGTCTTGACAAATCAGCAGTGCAGGAAAAAACTGAACATCGAGTGGAGTGCAAATACTGAAAAATATATCAGAGAGGTGAACAACAGCTAAAATAAGTTATTTGGATATACTGATTTTCTTCGTCATATGAGACAAAAACTACAACGCATTCACAGTGATTGTTGCAAAGTGCTCAAGAGTGAGTACAAATAGATGTGTTTAGGCCAGGCCAGGGGTGTCCAAACCTGTTCCTGGAGGGCCAGAGTTTAGCTCCAACCCTAAACACCTGAACCAGCCCGGTTTACGCAAATAGCATTGTCAGCATAGAGTCTCGTCCCTTTCTTAAAGTAGAGGTAATAGCAAGGTCTCTGACCAATTTTATTTAAGTTCTGTGTTTTACAGTGGATGATAACTTGATGTGATCAGTCTGGGCTAATTATTGATGTACTGGATTCAGTCATTTTCTTAAGCGTGACTTTGTATTTTTAAAAAAATTATCTGAAAAAAGAGGAGGTATTATTTTAGGCAGTTTTTGTCTAGATGTCTGAACTTCTTTAGAGGGTGTCAAATCCTGCTGATCAGAACTTGATGCTTCTTGGATTGATCTGCTTTGACTTTTGTGTTGTAACCGAGAGGAGCTGTGTGCCCTGATACGTGGTGTAGAGGATTTAGTGGGCTTGCGACCTCTTTCCTTTTGTACTTCTTGCTGCAACTGAGACTCCGTTCGGGAATGTGAGGCAGAGGAGCTACTAACAGTAGTAGTGTCCACAGCATCAGGACTTTGCCCTAAGTCTGTGTTCTCCTCTCTGGCCCTTGTTTTTGGTCTTGGCAAGGACCTGCTGCGTCGCAGATTGCTCTTTGTAAAGTGTCCTGGCTGAGCATTATCAACCTCCCGTCCAAGAAGCTTTTCCTTCGCGTCATAACTGTCTTTAGAGGACCCCACCACTTTAATAATGTAATTTTCCTTCCTAATTAAAACACTGTAGATCCTTTGGAATGAGTAAGCGTTCTGGAAAATGTGTCTCTGCTGACTGGAGTCAAGTTTTTTCAGGTCTATTTCATGCGTACATAGAGATGAGCTCATCTCGTTCATGAATTTTGAAATTTTTTTAGCTGCTTCCTCACAGGCTCCTCCCAAGACTTTAACCTTTGTCTGGAAGTCCATTCACTTCAATAACCATTTCCTTCATGTCCATCTTAACACTAAAACAATAAATAGTGGGGAGGAGTTACAAATTATAAGTAATTACAACACAAAATTAATTAACATGGTTTTTTTTTCTAGTCTTCCTAGAGCCAGTATGTCTGTCAACCACTGCCATTATGCCTAAAGCTCACACAGATATCGCACAAGAAAAAAATATTTGGCTGAATGACACTCTGTCTACACCTAGAGGACTACTGAGAAATGTTGAAAAGGGGCTTAAATGCTATGCCTGAATGCGAAAGCCACACCTCCTCATCATCATATCGGGTGAAAGAACAAGGAAACAAAACAAAATGGAGATGAACAAGAATAGATGAAAACAGACAAAATACGAATACACAAATACATGTAAAAGAAAATAATAATTAATGCATTTGCACATACATAAAAAGTAAATAAATTAAAAATAAATTTATTACAAAAGGCCATTCGTTCATTTACTTATTTAATTTAATATATTCCAATTTTGGGTCTATATTCTTCTATAATGCATGCAAACAAGCCAGAACGAACAAAACTATAAATGCAAGGGCGAGACTGTAGACGGCGTAAGCGGTTAAGAATCGGTTTGGTTGTTGTGTAAATTGCAAAATACAGTTCTGATGACTAAAACAGACAGTTGCTGGACATCTTTGAAGGTTTCTCAGTGGAGCACCAAACACAGAAAACTTGCTTTACAACTGGCGTTCCACCATAACGCCAGGAACAGGAATGCAATGTAATTTAACGATAAATGTACAGCGATTGTTGAGAAATGTTACGCTTAGAAATGTATAAAAACGTACCTGTTGAGGATTATATAAATGCGTTCGCCAGGGTGAGATACTGCAGCAAACAGACGCGACAGTCCTTCGTTCTTAAGTGTAAGTGTAAGTGAAAGTGAAACTGCGCAGTGCTCCACGGAAACAAGGGGGCGTGTCGGCGTGCATTTGAGAACAATATTGAGTATCTCCCTTAAAGGGGTCATATGATGCGATTT